CTCCATATCTCCGTAACGGCTGGACCTGCCTTTGCCAAAAACTAATCAGCACATCTCCCTATCAATAGAAATCGAATGTTTTTTAAACCATTTAAATCGGTTGATCCGTGCGCCCGAAAACGTGGACGAAAAAACGCGGACATACAAAACACACACACACACACACACACACACACACATCCATTTTTTCTGAGGTATGCCAAAATGTTCAAAAACCTTCAAAACGTCGAGAAATGTAAAAATTTTTGATTCCGATTTTTGGACGATTACTATAACTTACCCTACGGGAAGTTAAAAATCAAATTGGTCATAAAAAGTTATTATAAAATAATGGTAAATCAAGATATTCTGGAATAATTTCGAATATTTTACAACTTACTTCAGATATCATTTCAGCTATTATATAATTATTATTCATTATCTCTATTTTGAGCCTGTCATATATATGAATTATTTATTAATTATTTGGTTTTATTTTCAAATGTCTATGATTCTAAATTGCATTGGCGGATGATTTAGAATTTATATTGATACGTATAGTTGCTGAACATTTTAAGCTTCATATAAGCAGCTTTTGCTGTAGTATATTAGAAAACAATTGAGAACAAAAATATAACTTACTATAAATTTTTACTGTCTATCTACTTGTAAAAATATAATTAAATAAACCTAAAAAATTATTAAATAAAATAAATGAAAATAATCTAATAAATATAAAAGTCCTTCCTATAGGATTAAATTTTATAAGTAATTTAAATTCATTATGAAGTGTTATAATAATTTTTAATCAAATTATATTGTATCGGGACGGAATTATATACTATAGCTTTTGCTGTAGTATATTAGAAAACAATTGAGAACAAAAATATAACTTACTATAAATTTTTACTGTCTATCTACTAAGTAAACGTATATTGTTCACGTAATTTCGCAAATAGATTTGCAAAATTTGATTAATTTGAATTTTATTTCCAAAAAAAATCTTCTCTCGTATTACTTCAAAACTTTAGTACTTCGGAATGATTTTAAATTCCGAGCAAGAAAACGCGTAAACAATTTTTTCCGTTCGGTGTCCTAGTTTCAAAAGTTCTTCCTCTTCAACACAAAACACAGACAATGAAACGGTTTTCCAATGTTTTTTTATTGAGATAACCTCCATTAGCCCACAGCTCTTCTATACCGTAAGTTATTTTAATTATATTCAACGGTGAATATTGGATATTTCATTTGAATGAAATTTAATTTAATTATAATTGAAGTTATACGAACTGTGTAATACGTTGTATTATTAGAAAATGGGTTCCGTGTGGTTCAAGAAATGTATCGTTATAAATTTATTTAATATTGCTGTTTCTGAAATAAATTAATATTTGAGCTATAAGGTTTGGCAAGTATTTAAAATAAATTAAGTTAAGAATTTTTTAACATCAATATTTGAAAGTAAAGGGCAAAAATGTATAACCAGCCTTTATCTTGATTCTTACAACGTAGCTATCAGGAGATAAATGGAAATGGTTGAAAATCCATAACAAAAGTATTTTAGTTTTACGAGTAATTTAGTTGTCGTTTAGTTAACGGGACCTTAATAATATTTTTAAATATACGTTATTTAATTGTTTTATAAGATGTATGGTTATTTTTAAGTTAAATTTATCGAAAAATAGTAAAAAACACGTTTTTATAATTAGGAATGAACCAGGAATTTCGCTGATCATAGTTTGTAGGATGTTTGTTCGATTCTTGTTATATCATGTAGACTAGTGATGTGCCAAGTCGAATCAAGTGATTTGAATCATTCGAATCAAGCCTTTAACGACTTGATTCGAATCAGATTTTACTTGATTCGAATCAACTCGTATCAAGCCGCGAAATATTTACTGTGTGCATGTATGAACACAAATTTTCATAAATATAAAAAAAAATGTTTTAATTTAATTCGATATCATAATAATATAAATAATAATAATAATAAATATAAAAAAATAATAATAATAAATATAAAAAATAAATCTTGAATTAAATCATGCGAGCCACCCGGCTTTAATACGCTTAAATGTATCACCCGACTCCAATTTATATGACTTTAACCGCATTCATTGTCTTCAAGCCGATATGAATTCATCCGAGTTCCTATGATTCAAACCGACTTATTTCGACTTCAAGTCGCTATGAATTTATCCGAGTTCCTAAGACTCAAACCGACTTATTTCGATTTCAAGTCGATATGAATTGATCCGAGTTCCTAAGACTCAAACCGACTCATCCCGACTTCAAGTCGTTATGAATTTATCCGAGTTCATATGACTCAAACTGAATCATACCGACTTGAGTTCGAAACATGTGTCCGTGTTTCAGCGTAACGACTTATCGAGATGCAGTGCGTATGGGTCTTGAGTGTTTATTTATTTTTGACTAAGCGCTGAGATCATTCAATAATTTTTCGAATATTTCATTAAAACGCAGGAAGTTCCAGCAATTTGCCTTAAGGCACGATACACCACTAGTTTTAGGCATTTAATTAATATAGTAAAACTAATAATGTCTAAAAATTGTAAACTCCGTGAGTTTACACATATAACTATAAAATAAATATTTTTGCATTCAGAATTTCTGAAGAATCGTTTCGGGCGCTTCGCGCACTGCTTTGCGTCCGAACGAACTCTACGCAATTGCAGGGTACTATTAGCGTTATGCGCGGGTGTACTGGCTGCGGTTTTTTCAATTTTCCAGTGTGTTCCACCAAATTGATTTGAACAATATTTGCAGTACTCAAAGAAAAAACAATGGGCTCTCGAATAACGCTAATTAGAAAGTGGTCCAAATAAATGCACTACCCGAAATAATCAATTGAAAAATTATTTTGTCTTTTTCAGCTAATAGTAAACGATTTTTTGGAATCGATTATTCTACATAATGTGGTCTGAGTCAATTTGAGTAGAATCACGTAAAAATTTTTTCGATATCTTTTATGGTTACGCGAAAAAGTGAGTTTGAAAGAAGGGGCCACTTTGGCATATTTTCAATGATATCTCGGCCATAAGATGAGGTACAAAGTTGAAAATTGGTATATCTGTTTTAACCATTTAGACCTATAAAATGGCGTATAAATTATTTAAATACCAGGGTGGGGCCGATTCTGTATGGCAATGCGCCCATAGCCTTTGTTCATGAAATATCAAAAACTCATTTAGCTAATAAATACGCGATTTAGATTTTAATCATTACCAAAATAAACTACACAACGAGTTTTATACACATACAAAATTATCATATTTTAATTATGCAAGTAATGGCAAATTCACACAAATGAAATAATATCAATCTTTACAGTAGTGGATTGAATTTTAAGTCATTCGTAAGACGTTAGATTCAGCCCCCTGTTTAGATTAGATCTAAACAATCAATAATATACACATGCATTCGTTCAACGTAAGATTAGGAATATTGTTTTATATGCTTTAGTGATAGAGAAGTGTTTGGTTATATTTTACTGTAAATTCACTTGAAATATTAGTTATATTTGTAGCTAGTTTATTATTATATATATAATATAAATGTATTCATCCCTGCACTTTTTGGAATTAATTGCTTACTAAATTAATTATTTCACTTATAAAATTATTAAAATGATATTATTTCTTCTCTTAAATTATAATTGTTTATATATGAACTTGATTCGAATTGATTCGAATCATGATTCGAATCAGGTTTTTTTCTGATTTGAATCATTCGAATCAGGAAATTTTCGAGTCGGCACATCACTAATGTAGACAGTATTATTACTTCATTAATAATAAGTATTAATTTGATAAAAATTCTGAAGGTGTTTAATATCTTATTCAAAATAATAAATACTATAATAATAACTACAAATTCTTTCAAATATTAACTGACAGTTAATTTCAAATTTTGCAATATGATTTACTCGTGCATATTATTAACTATTCAACAATTATTATGCATGTGAATACAAACCATCATTATGAACTCATTACACAAATTAATTCAAATTCCATATGAATTTTACATGTTAATAACACAATTTATCATATATTTCGATACTTGGTTATCTAAATAATACAATACAATATCATTTAAAAATGGAAATGATTATTTTGATGCAACATTAGACCATAATGATGCATTAGTGTTTTAATCACTTGGAAAATATAATATATTGCCCCCAAGTACTATTAAACGGAAATTTTGTAAACTTTTTATTTAAAATCAATACGATTTGGTGGAAATCCTAGAACTCAGTTAGTAATCGTAACTTAATTTTTTTATAATCGAACCAAAACGCATGTTAGATATTTGTTAGAAGTAAATAAAGACTTATATACAATTTTATTTGCAATGTTATATATAGTAATATAATTTATAAAAACATATGTATATCAATAAAACTGATCATTTACATTTTGAGTCACTTCATTTTCATCTTATTTTTTTAGAGATACGCGGATAAAAATGAGTAAAATTTAACATAGTAAATATTTTTTTAAATCAATTATTTTATTACATTCATGGTATTATTTATTTATTCATAGACAAATATAGTTTATAGTTCTCAAATTAAAAGTAAGAAAACAAATTCAAGTTAGATTCTCAATTTATGAGTTATTATCTATCAATTACTATATTTTTGACTCCGCTAGATCAATTATCCACGTCTTTTTTTAAATTTTATTATTGATATAATCATATGAATATTGATATTATCCTAGGATTGAATTTCATAGCATTGTTTTTAACTGTATGTACATACTCGTATTTGCTATATTCATTACATGTCAAAGTACATCTGTTAAGCATATTTGTTTTTCTTCAGTCGAGCTTTACAAAATAAACATTAATTACAATAGATATTTATTAGAATCATATACTTTTACTAAACTAATGTTATTATATTTTTTAGAGACAACAAGTGAGGTATTCGTAAACTAATCAACTCAGAATCGAGTACCAACGAGTATATTCGTCTTTCACTAAATGTGATGTTAAAAGATTGGGCAAAACAGGTTAGTTTTATTTTAAAAATTCAAATATTTTATTAGTAATTTTTGTCACTAATATAAGCATAATATAAAAATATAATAAATTGTATTAAATTTTATACAAATAAGAGAAAGAATTTAATTGTTTGTGATGGTGTTATATTTCGGAACTAGGTGTTTATAGACAATAGTAATTCGCAAATCTAACATTTGTACGGAAACAGTGTTGCCAATGGGTACCATAGTGTTACCAATCCTTTGCTGTTAGCATATGTTGGTCTCTAATACTGGATGATGCCGAGAAATTACATAAAAACAGGTTAAAGAACAATAGTTATAAACTCTATAAAGCTAAACAAATTTTTCTTTTATCTGTTTAATCTTAACCTAAAAATGACAAGTGTCACAACCGTACACAACGCACATTTTTGGAGACAAATCATCATTATGATTGAGCTAAATTATCTACGAAAAAACTAATTGCTAATGATTACCAACTAATGCTCAACTTGTAGAAAATATCAATCAAAGTAATCCAACAAGTACCAGTTATTATTAAAAAGAAATCTAAATGAATACATGACTCGAAGCAATATTGGAAACTTGTTCGAACAAACATACTCCATCTTTTTATTTTTGGAACCTCTCTCAAAATCAGTACTCTATAGCTGCAATGACAATTATTGCTTATAGTGCACTAATATTTTTTCTATTATTTGCTTGTATCGGTAAATTATGTTTTCGTATTCCATTGTATAAAATGGGCTCGCGCGTAGGTAAGCGGTTAAGAGCGACGGGACTTGTTTCAAGGGTCCCGGGTTCGATACCTACTTCGAGCAGCCTGTTGTCAGACAGCAGTGACAACGATTTTCACTTGGAAATATAGATAGCAATATGTTTCCAAGTGAAAACAGCCCTTACCCGGCATTGTTGCACCATACTTGCCCTATTACATAGATTGTAATAAAAATTTATCATACAGAGATGTGACAACTGTTTGGGTTTCCATCTGTAATAAAACAAACGTAGTTTGTAAGATCTTAATCACAACAGCTCATAGAACCCATAGTTCTGATCGCTGTTCAAATAAAATTATAAAAAAAAATTGCACAAAATAAGTACCTAAACCCACTAAAGTTGATAAAAGCATGCTATGTCGGATTATTTGCTACTTCTCTCTCAACTCTACTAGCTGTGGGAAAATTCCGACGATTTGAACTGAATTAATTGAAAATAGATTACGCTACTTTCCGCTAACAATGGGATTCCGAATTGAAAGTTTCTAAGCACATGTTACTGGTGTCACGGTTTGTAGAAATTTACCCATGATTAGATAGAAAATTCTAAAAATATTACCCTTTTTTAAACGGGCCTTAAAGGTCCTCAGGTATAAAGGTCCATCTACAATATCGTAATAATAAGCAATGTTAGAAATTTTCTAACACAAATATTTGTTACTTGCTAATGCCTTAAATCGGACAACTTGGCTACCACGAGATAAATAACCGCCAAAATGTACCCATAGGATACTTATTTCTGTATTTTAGTTATTTGTAATGATGGTATTTTATTAATGAGTCTGATTACAATAAATTAAACAGAAATACCTACTGAAGCAAGATTCATGGTAGGTGTGAGTGTCGATTAGTGAATTGTTTATATTTAGATTATTATTTTTACTATTGTTGTATATCCTAGTAATTAAACTGCATCGCGTTGACTAAATATAGTATAGCTATATATTGTTTTGCGAAATCATTTATAATTAAAAAAATAAAAAAGTGAATCTATTTGCTACCAGGCTTTGCCTTCCTACCTCGAAATTGGGGAAAAAAAAATAAGGTGCCAATTTTTTTTTGAAATAGCAAAAAACGTAGTTTTATAATTACGAATTAGCTGAGTATTTTCCTGAACCACAAATAGATAAACAGTGGTTTGTTTATTACATCTCATTTGTATTGATTCTGTTGTTTGGTTCTTACAGTATTATTGACAAAAATCATAAGAATATATAAGTATATAATATAAATATTTATGAAATGATTTCTAGAGAATGTTCAAAATCATATGAAATACCTCTTGATTTTCCCTCTTTTGCGAATTCTTTACAACTATTTGAAAAACTTATATTTGATCTATGATTCAATCTTAATATTGAACGTTTTATTGCTTTGCATAATTTTAACCGTGAATTTTGTACTTGTTTTATTCAATAATCCGAATGACCATTTTTTATGAAAGCATATTGCTATATTCTAAATAAAAACTGTTGTTATCAAATTGTTCGTAGTGCGTAGACCGAACTTGAAACTACGGGTTGAAATCTCATAGCTATAATCACTAATACACGGGTAGCCTATAATATGCAATTAAATTTGTGGTTGTAAGAAAAATAAACTGTATGAAATAGTAATTAATTTTTATAATTAAACCTCTTATCCCAGATCCTTAATATCTAAGGATGTGTGTATAGAGAATGCCGCTACTATATTATGTGAATGTAGAACGATATTTCTCAACTAAGAAACAGCCCGCCTGATCTTTATAAAAACTAATCAACACTTTTGAATGGTTTTAATAGTTTTAAAATTGGTTCATGTTTTTTGGCTAAAACGTTTGGTTTGCACTCTTCTGCCAATTTTAAATGACCGACCTCCTCTTTGGGTATATTATTTTGCTATTATAAAATTTGAGCAATTGTGTTAGTCTTTTGAATAAATAAGCTCACATTTTTAATATGGAATCAATAAAGATGAACTATATTTTAAATATAACGTTTTGAAATCGTTTTTTTCCAAACCGGCAGGCAAACATTAATCTGAGCTGGAAATAAGTAGTTTTAGAATTTAGGAAATTCTGAAGATATTCAAAAAAAATATTTGTTTTTTGTTATTTTTTATTGCTTTTGAAGATTAAGGCTTGAATGTGTAAATTTTACTTTTATTCGCCTGATAGGACAACTTAGTTTACACTTTTATAATTCTTGACGAAAGCTTTTCATTTACTATTAAACAATTTGTCTTGCAATTTTTACTTTCAAGGCAATTAAACAATTGTCATTCAATTTTACTGAATGAATAGGATTTGTTTTTCTTATTATATGTTTATAGCATACATTTAATATAATCTGAGAAAAAAATTATCAAATTTTCTCATAAAATTTTTGCAGCTGTGATTAGTTTTTTAGTATATTAGATTCATATATTTTTTAAAATGCACTAATAGAATTGGTACTTGAGTAATTTCACTGCATGTAATACTGGTTGCATTACATGGTTGGTATTTTGCAACAATATAAAATGTTATTTTAATAATTTTTAGTTAAATAATCTCAGAAATGTTTGGAATGTCATTTAAACAATCTACAACATAAACAAGTCTTTTATTTGCTGAATATTCTAAAACTAGTAATTAAACATAATTATGACTTGTTTAATTTGGGCATTTCTGTACTAAGTGCGTTCTTTCTGTCGATGTTAGTTTCTCAAAATAAATGATAAATTTTCGGTCCATTAGGAATGTTTTCGACAAAAATATTATTTTGACTGCAAAATGTGACAGTTTATAACATAAGTCTGCTATTACTGCTTAACATAAGTCTGACTCTTATATAAAACTTTGTGAAGTAACTATAATATATAAAGTATTTTTTCTGGTAAAATATAAAATAAAATAATGTTATATGTATATCTCTCAATAAAAAATATATGCTTCAATATATTACTGTGTAAAGCCGATTGGCGTATAAATAAATACATATCCCACACAAATATCATGAACACATCTGGATACATCTACAACTCCTTTTATAGCATTATATTTAATTTTAACGATTTGCAAATTATTTCTAGAGCTGACACGTTTTTTAACATTTCTTATTTGACGGAAAATTTTATATTTATATTTTACTACTTACTTGGTCTGTCTAATTCGTGAATTAGATCTTCTAGTCCAGTGCTTCCTACAACACTGAGAATTGTTGCAAAAATCGCTAAACGCAGAATTTTCAACATGGTAATTTGTCCCATGGCTAAAGACAGTTCTTATCTGAAATTCAAAAATATAATTAGTACAATAAATATAATAATTTTTTATTTTTATTATTACTAAAAACCAAAAATCGAAAAGATGAGCAGTTTAAAATTATCCATTTTCTTTAATAGATCTTTATTAATAATTTATATATTAATATATATAATATTATATACATTTTTAATCACTGTTTTATTAAATATTGTTGCATGAAATAAAAAGTATTATAATCAGTGTTGTGCAATGTATGTATGTATAATATATCATATTATTCGTAAATTTAATTTTAATCATTATGATGTGACTTCGAATTACTCAACATTGATGTGACATTTCATTATACTGAAATGATAGAACGCTCATGATTATTTTTCTACAAAATTATCAATGTATATTGTACTTGTATAGAACCAATGACAATAAAAGAGACATTATTTCTTTGTGAACATATTAAATATTCAATGTTTTGGCATATGATCAATATATCATTTTTATTCCTAAATTTAATTTTAATCATTATGATGTGACTTCGAATTACTCAACATTGATGTGACATTTCATTATACTGAAATCATAAAACGCTCATTATTATTTTTCTACAAAATTATCAATGTGTATTGTACTTTTATAGAACCAATGACAATAAAAGAGACATTTTTTCTTTGTGAACATAATAAATATTCAATGTTTTGGCATATGATCAATATATCATTTTTATTCCTAAATTAATTAATTAAATGTAGAACTAAATTTAATACAATTCTATTATAAGTTGCGTAATAACATTTATGTTTATAAATGTATTTATTAATTTTTGTATTAAAAGGCTTATGGGATTGAACGTAGTAGAAATAAATTAATCATATTTATATTATGAACATATGTCCAATAATCCCGAAACAAAATTACTTTTACTGAATATGGTAGTATATAATTGCTTTTGAATTAATTAATAAATTGAATTAATGTAATTGGAAATACAGAAAAACAAT